CTGTTATACTGGTACCCAGATGATATCACCGTGATGATCTGTTATACCGGTACCCAGATGATACCACCGTGATGGTTTGTTATACTGGTACTCAGATGATATCACCGTGATGATCTGTTATACTAGTACCCAGATGATATCACCGTGATGATCTGTTATACTGGTACTTAGATGATATCACCGTGATGATCTGTAATACTAGAACCTTAAGGTACTCTCACGCTTATCAACTTATCGACTGGACTGGACCAAGAAAAGATCAGGTGCTTCGATAAGACAAGGTTCATGTATAAACGGCTCACACGGGAGTATCACATTTACTCCGAATCGAGTGAAACCATGTGCGTCTGCACTGCAATACCAGCATCACCTCGGATGTAAAGGAATTGTAATTTTAGGTCTTAGGCAGGGTTTAAAAGTCTTTATTTGGTTTGGAAAGAAAGATAATTAAAAGGACGAAATAAAAATCCTTTATCGAAAGAATGACAGACAACACCTTGTAAAAAAGACAAAAAAGATAAACAACGATTTGAAAAATAATACAAAGAGAACTAAATATTGACTAACGCGAACCACACTCAAACCGGATGGGATGAAAATGAGATATAATGTAGCAATGAGCAACCAATTTATAAAAATGTATGCCGGTAATTGGTAACAACTTCCGTGAAATGTCTTTTTGTCTTAGGTGTAAGGAAGAGATCCCTAATATAATAATTTAATAAGGTGTGAATATGTACCTGTCAGTAATACATTAATATAATATAAAGTCCGTTGTCTGTTGAGCCTTCCAGTGGTATACCACACATACCCTTCCACGTCTTTATAAATGAGTTGAAGGACACAAACAATCAATTGACCCCCAAAAACCCAAAAGATAGAGAAATAGTTTGTTTTACTTAGTTTTATTACAATAGATACAATACTCTAACCGATAGAGTACTTATCTTAAAAGAATAGATTAAATAACGTGCTTTTGATGGGCCTTATAATTCGAATGACAGTTTTGACAATTTTTGACTCTCTACATCACACTTTCGCAAAGTGTTATCAAACAAAAGAGTTTCCTATTTAATGAAATGTTTGAAAAATCTGAGTTGGAATTTATTTGCTGCAACTGATATAAAGTCTTCTGTTGTAATGAAAAAGATAAATATGTTAGACATACTTACTGTGACAAGATGGTTAACATCTATATGTATGTTTTGGAAATAAAGTTAATCGGCAGGTTTTAAGTATTCCGATGAGCACCAATTGCACACCTTTAAGTGAACTTGTTCCTGTATTGTTGTGAATCACAGTATATGGCCAAACTCAGTTAAGATCCATCTAAATTCCATCTAGTTGTTAAATTCAACAACACGTCCTGTTATCTGGATGATATATTCCTAAAATAATCAAGAATTCTTGAAATATATTCTACCGACATTTAACCAAAGGAACTTCTTAAAATAAATCAAATATAAACAGTAATAACTGACCTTTCGTAGATTTAACTATCTCTAATTAAAGTCCCATAACTCAAAAAACGAATTTTCGGACAACCTGTCTCCCATTAATATTTAAAGTGTGTTAAAATATAATGAATATGATAAGTCGAATCAAATATATATCAAATGTGGAATGTTGGAACGAATGGAAAGATGATATGAACCAACGAAAACCACTGTACTACAAGCCTCCTGACTTGAGACAAGCGCATAAGGAATGCTGTGAGGTTTAACATGTTTTGGAGCGCTCAATCCTCCCCTAACAAGGGACAGTGGTGTAACAGCACAATATAAGAACAACTTGTAAACATCAGTTGCAATTGGCTTAACTCAAAAGATCAGTTGGAGACACACAAAAATAACTGATATAAATACAATAGACACAAAGCACCGAAATAAGAGAACTAGCAGTTACCGAAAGCTAGTTGAAAGGCAACTACAACTGATAAATAAATCATGATCTCCAAGACTAAACTATCAATCAGTGCACATCCAACGGATTTAGTGTAAAAATGTCATTACTGACAGTCTGAGAAACGGAGGATGTGGGATAATGAGTTTTCATAACTGTACATGTATAACAATATATATTTAGTTATGGGCTAGTTTAAGGGCTATATAAACAATTATTATCACCGTAAAAATTAGTATGTGATATCCCGTCCGTTTTTAATGAGAGTTCTACAGCCAAACCTTCTAATCAAATCTAACTATGAAAGAATTTGGTAAAGGTAAAGATTTTAATAATTTGTAATTATAATATTCCTGACTTAATAATTTACTAGTGATGCATAATTTACGGTCATTAAAATTTAAATCACGACTACAGACACGGGCATAGCGAGCAAGTTGTGAAATACACACACCGTTAGAAGAGGACAAAATTGAAAATAACTATTAATCAGAAACGATTGTTTTGTACATAAGTCAGACCGTAAGTTTTCTCGTTTGTATTGGTTTACACTTGTCATGTCGGAGCCATTTATTGCTTGCTGTGCGTTGATAACTTCTACTTTTTTCTGGTATTAAGTTGTCTCATTGGCAATCATACTTCAATTTCTCAGTTTTATATAGGTAGCATTGAAAATAAAACATCGGCGATACTAAATTCTTTAAAAATCGAGTATTGATACATTGTAACAGATGCTGTGAATCATAACCCGGTTCTTTGTTTGCGCGAGACAAACGAACCATTGTTAGAATCTCGTCTAAATATACAGGGATATGATAGAAATTATGGCTTAAATAATGTTCAAATTAACTTTTAACCAGCAAAAATTTTACGTCAGAGAAGATGTATTTGGAATTTGATTTCATACTATTCATATAGAAATTCATTAGTACACTGCATAATGTGTTTCCAATGAAATATAATTCTTTCTTTAATTCATTTGAAAAGTTGTACATGTAATTAATTTGAATAACCATTATTCTATGAAGGGTATTTTTTTTTCTTTGTACTATGCTCGTATGCATGGATTCCAAAGGAAAACATTTATATGTAAGATGTCATTTGTAAGTATTGATGGTAGGATGTCATTTGATGCATAAGTTACATGTTAATATGTCCTTTGATTGAGTTAAGCTATTTCAGCTGATATTTTATAGTGTGTCTTTCTATGTTGTGATGTTACACTATTGTTTCAGAAAAAGGGTGAAGGTTTGGTACCATTAAAACGTTTAAACCCACTGCATTTGTTTGCACCTGTCCTAAGTCAGGAATCTGATGTTCAGTAGATGCGATTGTCATACAAGTGAGTGGTTTAGCTAGCTATAAAACCAGGTTCAATCCACCATTTTCTACATAAGAAAATGCCTGTACCAAGTCAGGAATATGACAGTTGTTATCCATTCGTTTGATGTGTTTGTGTGTTTTTTTTATTTTGCCATTTGATTGGGGACTTTCCTTTTTGAATTTTCCTCGGAGTTCAGTATTTTTGTGATTTTTATTTGTAAGCATTGATGGTAGGATGTCGTTTTTTTTTGTCCCTGCATACAAACTAGCTTTAAATCGGCCAAATATCCTCTAACTATAAATACTTGATCAATAACATTTAGAGAATTAGTTAAGAAGAGCCCAGTTCTTACCGAAATTTTTAAAATCTGTTTTACACACTTACGAGCAACACTACGGGCGCCACATGTGGAGCTAGATCTGCTTACCCTTCCGGAGTACCTGACATCACCTCGGATTTTTGATGGGGCTCCTGTAGCTTAATCTTTAGTTTTTTTATGTTGTGTTCTGTGTATTGTTGTTTGTCATTTGGTCGTTTTTTGTTGTTTGCTATGGCAACGGACGTACTTACAAATGTTATCAAGTTAAAGGCTGCATTAAATATATTCTCAGAGTTAATGTATCATTTCAAATCTTTTAAATAAATGAGACCAGCTGGAACCCGCCTCAGGTTTCGCTCTACGTTGAAGACCCATTGGTAGCCTTGAGCTGTTTTCTGCTCTTTGGTCGGGTTGTTGTCTCTTTGACACATTCCCCATTTCCATTCTCTATTCTATACATATGTAGTTACTTTTTATGCTGATGAAAAACTGAATAGGATTTACTGCTGAACAGAATACCGTGACCTAGCATAAATAATCCATCATGTAACATGACCTATTTAGTTTAAGTTACACATGTAATAGTGCTTTCAATGACAGTGGTGACTTAAGTATTCTTAGAAATGGATAAAGCCTTATAAGGAAATCGAAAATCAAAGAAAAATATACTGTTTTTTTTTTTTTGCATCGATCTAGATTTCACGATTAACCTTCACAACAGCTGCTTAAATTCAAAGATAATGATATATAAGTACGCAGCAAGGGTATTTCGTAACACCAGCAATAATCTCCATCAACACATACACGCGCAATATGATGGATCAACATTTTCCCCAACAAACCCTACTGTATAAGTATTTTTTAAAGATTATAAAAGCAGAAAGAATTTTTAATTGCTGTTTCTTCAGTTTTCACAAACAACTGCAGAGATTTGTGTATCTTAAGTTATTTTCAGCTTAATTATTTTCCTGAAATCATCTTTCACAATTGACTTCACATTGCTTTATCTTAAAATCCTTTTACTCACACGTATACATTATGGTGCCATTGACAAATATATAATGTGTGTTTCGCAATCATTTTAAGCCCAACAAAACAATACTTTGTATGTGAATTTTCTATATCATTTTTTGACGCTTTCTATAAAACTTCTAAGGTCAGCATCTTACTCAACTTATCTAACATTGTTAAATCAGAGATGCTCCATTTTGTATTGTATTAAAATCTTCCTTAAAAATAACTTTTTGTTATATGCGATAATGTAAAGAAATTGATAAACTAAAGTCAAATACACAATCAAAGTAGATATAATTTCCTACTGAACTTATTTTTTTTTATATTATACATATACACGGCACTAAAATTTCCCCGTTCCGTGAGGAAACAAAAAATCATTTAAGAGATATATGTATGGAAATCTTTCCGTATTTTAGCACTTTCTATCATCCATGTCCATAGTTGTAGAATCTAATGAGTGTTAATTAATAGTTTTCTTTGGATACTATGTGCTCTAGCTTTATCAAAAACTTATAAATACCTGAATGTTACTAGGGAGTACCTGAATTGAGTATTCACATTTGAAGCATATTGCTGGAGATGATTTTCAGGTTTGTTCCTTTTGTTTATTGAGATTGCTTTAAGCTTGCTATTTATTGCACGGGACAAAAAGTAAGTGCACTCATTTTAAATGATCAGAGTTGTTGGTTACAATGATGTGCCACATATACATCCACATGACAAAGATGATAAAAAGATAAAACTGAATTGTTTGAAAAACAACTTGTAGAGACGTTTATGCTTATATGTGTATATGTTGATAAATACATGTTAAAATAAATTAAACAACGACAGATGTTTCAATCTTTATAATTATAATGGTTATATATAGATGTTGAAGGAATATCAAGTTATTCTAGGGAACATCTCATTAGTCAAGGTATAAAACAATCACGGCAATGATAGTGCAACCAAATGCCTTCAAAGGGTCTAGGCATCTCATATTATGCATGCATCATACGTCATAAACCATTCCAAATTCTTATCAAAAGTAAAGGTCAAAGCTAGGGAATGACTCAGGTCAAAGCTAGGGAATGACTCAACTGATAATAATGACACTAGTGGGTTTAGAAACTGAGATCTTCCAATTTAAGACCCCGACACCATAGAACTAGGAAGTGGTGTAAAGTGAAAATTACCGTAGTTCTTAATAAATGAAAATAGTAATTTAGTCTATAATAACTCTATTATCAAACCAAATAACAGATCACGAGGTTTTAAGGTTTCGTTAGTACGAAGACATTAGATGAGTGCATCAACTTTTTTGTCAACAACTACAGTTCTACTCTTTTGGGGCAAGGTTGATTTAATGGTTTTATTGTTTTGCTATTTTTCTCGGTGACCAATTTTGATTTTCCAGCTCTCCATATTTTTACATCTTTCCTTTGACCATTCCTGCAAAAATGTCTTTGAACTCAACGAATTGAAAAACAAAATCATTCTATTGTAAAAATGGTGGTAAACATTCTTTTTAAGATTTCATTTTTGAAGCATTTCCTTGGCAGATATGGTCTTATAAACAAATGATAACCTGACATGAATTACAATAGATATCACATGTTCTTCCTAGAGAACAAACAATTTTTATTATTAAAAAATTAAATAAACAACCTGCATTGTAAAAAAAAATGTCATAAAGTCTATGCATGATGCGAAATTTCGAATTTACGCAGCGGGGAAAAATAATTGCAATTTTAAGTAGAAACAATAATGATTTGGTGGCTTCTGTCATTACTCCTTAAACAGTTAAAGTTTTATTCTTTGGGAACTGAGGGTATATAAGTATTAGAATAACAATTTAAACTCTGACATGAAGTCTGAATGAACACTTTTAAAAGACATGTATTTTATTTTCTTTACAAAAAAAGAATACAAGAGAAGAGAAAATGCCTAAAAGATACAAATGAGTTCAAAATAAGTCATTTGTTTGGAATCGTCACATTTCTACTTAAAAACTTTGTCTATTGTGTTCACCTACGCAATTTTATTTCAAACAAACCAATTTCCCCCACACATATTACTGATATTGGATGTACTTATGATATACAAAATAAAACATGAGAACAATGTAGAACAAAAAACCAAAAAACGTGCGTGTTAGGTATACATGTATGGAGTGTATTCGTAGTACTTGAACAATTTCAAAATTAAAAAAAGATAGATTAATAAAACGAGTACATTCTGTATATTCATAAAAATGAGAAGATATACGTCAAACTAAAATTTAGAACAAAATAGACGAATATAGAAATCTAACATATATTAATATGTAATAGATACGGTCTATAATAAATACTACAGAAACCAGAGATACATTATTTTGACTAGCTTTAATGTACGCTTCCAATTAATATATACATTTATATATATAAATCTAAAGTTCGAAATGTACTAACAATCCTTTAATTTAAAAACTGGATGTACATTATCATCCATGATTATCACAAAGTTGTGAAACCGGTTGGAGAAAAATGTAGTTAATTAAATATATGTATATAAGTTCATCTTGTCGTCATATCAACCAAAATGAATACTAATTGAGAAATTTGAAATCTGTTTATTATTTATTTTTAAATATGAAAATGTTTGTACCAGGCAAGTGGAGGCAACAAGGATCCGGAAAGTTGTCTCTTTTATCTTGTTTACACATCATCCGCAGACTCGAGGGCCAACACTTCAGTTAACCACAAAATGTCGTATCTCTTACCATCTTAGGAAAGTCATTTTAAAATGTTAATTCTATAAGCTTAAAATAACAATTTTAAGTTAAAACAGTACGATCAAATGAAATAAAAAAAAAATGCGGTTATATTTTTTGTATACATGTAATAAACAATACTGTAGACTAGACAGATGTGCAGTGTCCGTGTAAATAAACATTCACACATGTATATACACCTAGCACCCACACGTACATTAGTAGACACGCTGAAAAATCACAACTTTTATAAGTTAGAGTAGATTTAGAGCAAGGCATATTGTATATAAGCTATTTCTGATAATGCCTTGTGCTGAGCTCAATTGTGTTATTATTTGTGTTTCGTTGGGGTTCTGTCTCATTTACTAATACCGATTCTGTTTAACTCACAGTTACAAATATGTATATACTTCTTGGTTGGTCTCCTGAACAATTGTACTAATTCATCATTGTTATAATTTGCAAGATTTCCAAGGGCAAAAACATTTAGCCATGTAATCTAACATATAATTATCGAAAACCTGATTATTAAAAACCTTTTTTAATTGGCAGCAACAGAAAATTAAGTCTTAGGATTATCAGCCTCTATCTGGATTCCTTTTCGGGTTTACCACGCCATTTTATTTTAAATCTTCTGTTGATAAAGTTCTTCAGCGTTTGATTCAGGTTTCGGATTTCCAGATACATATGTCGGTCAACAGACAGTCTTGTCCCAAATAAGAATCTAGTTCATCAGAATTGATAACTTATATGTACGTAGTTGTAAACAATTTTACAGTTAAGCTTTATATAGCATACATTGTTAATACAACACAAAGACGAAACAATAATCAATATTGTATACATGTATAAGGAAGACGAATGTTCGGTTTTCACTGTTTTCACATTATTGTTATTCTATTTTCTCATCATTTTGATAAGGTACCATAAAACTGCGCATGACGTCTTTTCGGTTTCATTAACATAAAATAATGAGCATTTTGTCAAATATGGAGTTTAACAATTTTAACACATAAAACATTTCCTTCTAAATAAAATTAATTATCGAATATATACTACAAAGGAAAAATATAAGTACATTGCAAGTTTCTAAATTAAAATTCATAAAAAAAGGACTCAAACTTATTCTGGCAGACATGTAGATGGTTTTAGATTTGGCACAACTTGTTTTCGAAGTAGACAAAGCCTGACGTACTAATTCATAAGCCTGGTTCCTTGGTGACTTTTTTTAACCTACACCTGACATAATTTGCTTTAATTTCTGTAAAGCATATATCATGTATTCCTTGTAGTCAACAAATTTATTTTGACATAGTAAATTATATCAACAACAATGTTGTGCCTTTTTCAGTTCATATATGTTGTACCCGACTCTTATAAACATGAATAAAACGAGGTAAGGGATAAATTCTATCAGTCCTTACTAACTCTATTATTAACCAAATGACAACAATAATCAAAGACATCTTGAGGTTAATAAGCGGTTTTCATCAAGAGACAGGGGTTTATACAAAATGTCTAGTTTTATGAACAAATTAGACAGAATCTAGCAAAGATTTGCTATGTAGACCAAATTCTGAAAATTAAAAAAAAACAACAAATAATTAAGAAATGACATATGACAACCTTTGACGAGGTCACGGACTAAGGACAGATATATGACCATGCAGTGAGGTGGTAAAACAAACATATTTAAAAATATAATTGCGTCTCGATTCTTTAAAAAAAAATTATATATACAAATACAATAAGTTTGTTCTCGATCACCCCATTGCATTGAAAGTATACATTTTTTCCAAAAGAATTTATACATGAAAAGAAAATGAAGACTAAATAAGAATAAAGGCTAAGACAAAATGATTTGAATGGTTATCACTATAACGTATCAATTTTGAGGAAGCTTTCCGTAAACTGATTTGTTATATATTTATTTTGTAAATGTCCTTCAAATAGTATATCCACAATTACTGTACTCCATATTTAGAAAAAGCTATTGCCGGTTTGTTAAACATTGAAACGTTAAACTTATTCATTATAGATAACGCAAATAAAATAGAAAGTAAATTTAATTTAAAGTATTAGTTTCAGTTAATCAATTAAATCAAAACTAATCATGTTATTATTTGTCTCATGTATTTTTATTTTATTTTTTACATTATGTTTGAAAATAAGAATAGTAATTGTTCTGCTCATTTTGTTAGCCGTGATTGGCAAATAAATATCTTGGGTTTTTTTTTTTTGGGGGGGGGGGGGGGGGGGTTGCTGGGGTTCGTATGTCTCAGTCTTTAGTTTTCTATGTTGTGTTTTGTAAACTGTTGTTTTTCTTTTGGTCGTTTCTCGCTTTTTACCACGGCGTCGTAAGTTTGTCCTCGACTTAATGAATTAGATGAATTAGGGAGCTACCATTTGATTTTTATGGGGGGGGGGGGGGGGGGGGAGGGGGGGCTAGAATGAAAAATTTTGTCCTGAATTTTTTTTAGTTGTGATCTCTGTCCTGCCTTTTTATTTTTCACTCTATTCGGTCCTGCCTTTTTTTTATTAGTTTATCCTGAATTTTTTTACATAAATTGTCATCCTGCCTTTTTATTTTGCAAAGTTGCTTATCCTGCCTTTTTTCAAATTTCATCCTAGTAAAAAACTGTAAAGTAACAACATACTAGTTTTTCGGTATCATTTTCATTTTCAGCACTGATTACAAACACGGTAATTGCTAATGAGTCTGATAAAACCCAAATATAGTCTAAAATTATGTCACTCTTTGTGTCTTTTTATTCGCTTATTGTTTTGTAAATTAGGCCGGTTTTTGTATTTTTAGATGTTTCCATTTGTTTCATGAAAGCCTTTTATGTCTTG